AGTAGGTAGCATCACTCCAGTTTTACGGATGAGGAAACTGGCGAGACTGGAATGTGAACTCTGGTTAAAAGTGGGCCCTTGACTGTGACGTGACTCAGCCTCAAGAGCTTTGAGTATTTGGTTTCAAATATATTAAGTAAATGAATAAGAAATGCCTTATTATAAAATATTCAATTACTAGCATTACTTTGTCTCCCCTAGCAAGATAAAATAGTTGAGCTAACGATTAGGTCCCCCTCCTCTAGGGGAGTATTACAGGTGCAATGATCCATTTAGGATCGCTTCTTGCCTCTGAAAATAATCTTATCAACATATAGGGGAGTGTACATCCTCTCAGCAACCTAATTCAGCTGAAGTACTGTGGGGTCAGTGTTTGAGGAGGACCAGGAGAAGCAGGGGAACTCAGCCTGGGAAGGTCAGCTGGGACAAGACGCTCTGCCGTCCTTGCCAGTCAAGAACTAGGTTGTCCCTGGCAAGGGCAAACTGAAGGTAAGGACCGAAAACTCAAAAATGGTCTTAGGCCTACCGGCTTTCAAACTGTCCCTTTATAATGATTCCTGTGAAATAATTATTTCTATCAGTGGTCACCTCAAACAGGGGATTTAAGAGAGTGGGTTCATTAAAGGGAGCCAGGATCACAAACTCATTTAAGTCTCCTTGAACCTGTTTAATCAAAATGATTTTCTGCTACTCTCTATTACAAACCGAGTTTCTGTGGTGACAGATTAATGACTGATCCACTAAGCCATACCACATCTCTTGTCACCAACCCCACCATCTGAGCCAGCCACTATTCTATCAATAAGCCCCACTTGCCCTTGAAACTCATTATAGCTGAGCTGTTAAGATCAAATGAGTAGATCAGATGCTCACTGACACTCCAGTTCTGCTACAGAGACCACCAAATCCCACAGAATGTGCACCAGAAGGAAAAAGAATGTGGGCTGGTCCTTGTAGTCTCATTAGAATTAACAAACTCAGGTCACTCGTAGTGAAATAAATGTCAGGCAAGGCAACACTTCTGATTCTTTGGGCCTGCTAAAGGTAATTATCCTGGAATTAAATGTCAGGGCTAATTTCACGTGTGCAAAAGAAAGAAAATGTTATGTTTGATGTAAGCAACATTATTTTAATTAAATGAGACGCTAATTATTAGCAGAACATAAGCCCTGATGTGACCCTTCCAATAAACTGTGTCTACCTGGCTTCCCATTCTACTTTGTCTCAACCTAAGGTTCTTCATTGATTGCCACCAGACATAAAGCAGGAAAGACCTGCAATGTGATATCAGTGGAGGCCCACACCCAAAATCCACTCCACGCTTGACTGGCTGCCATGCATAGGGAGCGTATAAAATTGGACTGCCTGGTTCCAGTCCAGGCTCCTCCACAGCCCAGCTCTGTAACTCTGGGCAAGAGACAACCTCCCAGTAAATTAGGGAGAATAACTGTATTTCTCTCCTAGGATTATTATGAATTAAGCCAATTAATATATATAAAGTACCTTAAACAATACCTGGCACACTAAGTGCTTCATTAATGTTAGGTGTTATATAACTAGAACATATGAACTTTATAAGAAAAAAAAAACACTTATTTTTTTAAAAAAGACAAAACAGAATAAATAAGGAAGAAATATGTGACGGCATAAGAATTTCATCGAGGAGACAAGAGGTTACCTGAGTAAAGAGATCACATTATTTATCTTACTCACCCTTAGAGCCAACTGCGCTAGCACATGGTAGACAGTCAAATATTTATTGGAATAAATGAATGTACAAATGAATGTAAGAATAAACAGAGAAAATTTTCCTTACAGGAATGGTTATGGAAAGCCAAATAAGATTCAGAAAAAAAAATCAGGAAAACGGCTATGGCATCTTGACCCCTCAACCTCAAACCACAGAAAAGTTAAACACATGACAGTTTGAAGTAGGAAATTATTGTACAACTTAATACAAACATCTGTCCTTCTTTATCTTCTCCTTCTTAATAATGTACTTGTGCAAAAGTCTGGGTCTCCATCTGGCCCAACCATCCCAATTACTAGTCTTTATAAAAAGAATGATGAGCTATGTAATTGGAAAATTATATTAATTAAAAAAAAAAAAAAGAACAATGACCAATCCAATACATCTTAGGAGCAAACATCTCCTAACATCTGAATTTTATGTTTCTTCTGGATCCATCACTCCAGGTAACAAGACATGGAGAAGTTCTGAAATTTTTACTTCCAGAAAAAAAGAGATAGCCAGTATTTGTGTACCTAGAGCAAGAGGACCGCTTCAAAGTGCTAAGTCCACGGTATCAGGTCATCTCTGGCAATGTTACAGCACACTCGACATGCAGGGGAACATGGAACACACAGCCTGCCATAATTTCTATTTCAAAGTTAGCCCAATAACACCACCAGTAGGCATCATCAACTTTCTAAAGGGAGTCCCTAGTTTTCAGTTTCACAAGTTCAAAAATCACTTCTAAATCTCTCTTCCAACTGCAAAAGAACTGATAAGCATCATAACAACAATCTCAGGGCAGTCTTTCAAAGTCATCAGTGACTTCAACAAAACAACTAAAACAATGGCAGAGAAGCTGAGTTCTGTCCACCTCAAGCAAGGCCTGCTCAATGAAAACTATCAGGCTGGCTGAGCAACTGTACTAGTGGGGGCTTTGTCCATTGTCCAGTGAACAGCTGATTTCTATACGAAGCAACCTTTCAATCCCTGGTCGCGGAGGACTGAGGCTTTGCAGTTATTCCAAGTAAATTACCCAAATGAAGACACTTGGACTTGGCCTAAAAGATTATCTAGTTTGAGCTGTTCAACACCTGAAAAAGGTTAATGGCATTAAACTATGTCTGAGCCACAGCTAGCACCAGAAGACCCCATGAAGCATATAAACTGATTGATGATTGAAGATCTTTGGGATTTTTAAAACATTTTTAGATGTTTTTAGTGATATAATGAGTTAAATTATTTTAAAAGAAATGATATTGCTTAAAATATTAGTTTCATACCTAAAATTGCTCCAGGAACAGAAAAGTAGCACATTTGAACAGAGCAGCTTTTCTCTTTTTGTTACATTTTGGACACTTTTACAATATTTAAGGTGGTATTTCTTAAACATCATAAGAATTACCTAGAATGTTTGTTTAAAATATAGATTTCCAGTACCTATCCCAGAAATGTGGAATCATAATTCCCAGGGGAAGGGGCTGGGTGCTGTAATTTTACAAGCATCCCCAGTAAGCTTCATGATCGGTCAGGTTTGGAAAATACTGACCCAAGGATAAAAAAAAAAAATCACCATTTGCAAGAAAGATGAGAAATGAAGAAAAGCCCAATTTTTAAAATTTAAAGATGGGAAATAAGAATAATTTCATGATTATGGTACATTGAGGCTAGAACCCCTTGAACAGGCACGAAAACACAGAAAACCTTTCCGCACGGCCGAAGACCACAGCTGTTCTCAATTTGACCCAGCTGCCATGTGAACCAAGCTGTAGGCAAAGGGGCCCCTTCTCTACACCTGGCCAAATCCGCCTATCTCTAGTATCTGCCTTGTTCCTCAACTCTAAAATGTAATGATAAACAAAAAAAGCAAAATGACTTCTATTCTATGTGAGTCCATGAATAGAAGCCTCTTTAGAACATCTTTTTTCAGTCACAGGCAAAGGTAATCAGTGCAGGGCTCCTCAGAGCTGATCAGAAAGGGGATTGAAGATGGTTATAACAGGGCAGGTCAGATATAGGGCAGGGGAGGGCAAGGAGAATATCTGCTGCAAAATTAAGACACCCCCCCCCAATAACTGTAGAGGCTTAATAAAAGCATCTGAAAACCCCTTTCAAAGAGAAACAGCCCACAGTCAACTAGAAGGACAGGGGAAAGAAACAGAGAGGAGACAGAAGTCAATCCCCACCCAAGGCTTTGGGTGCACCTGCTCCTCTGGAGTGGGACCTGAAGAGATGCTCTTTATAAAGTACAAGAAAACATCTAGATTCATTAAAATCCTCAGACTTTCCTTCTACAAGGGCTGGAGATACCTGGAATGAGGCTGACTTAAGGAGGTGACTGTCACACATCTCCCACCTCCAAGAGCCCTGTGACAAGAACAGGGCCTCAAGTGTACAGGTCTCTTTCAATGGCAGGAATTCCTAATGTTAAGTATCACAAAACTTCCTTCCTACTCCCCTAGAGGCACCTGGCCCCAGCCACTGGGGGCAGCCTGTGAAAGAATTGGCAGCAGCTCTCACAGCACAGAGGGGATGCCATCTTGCTGGAAAGACTGCGCCAGGTTCCTCTTGCCCGACATCCTGTTGGGCATATCTGGGCAGCAGCATACCGCTTTGGAGCAGAAACAGGTAGAAGATGCGCCTCTGGGTGCCCAGGAATAGCTTTCTCCCCTGAGGGGGCTCCCAAAAGGAGCAAACTTTTGCCACTGGGCTTCTCTTCAGCGTTCGGATCTAACTGCATGAGCTGCCTCTTTTTCCCTTCCTCTAAAGACGCCAAAAGTCAAACCCACCACACTCCCTTCTCCCATCATTTTATCAGGCCCATTGCCATGACCCTCCAAACCTCCTATAATACCTGGTTCCCTAATAAACCTAACCTCTACAGCAGAGATTTTTCTGGCATACCCTAGAGATGGTCCAAATCACTGCTGCCCCAGGGAGGTTCTTTAGGGGGCTTGGCAAAGTCAACCACCACCAATTGGAAAACTCAAAAGCGTAAGGAGCCTCCCTCCACAGCAGCTGCTGTTCATACCATGTGTGGTGCAGTCACCTCCCCCAGTCCTACACACACCTAAGACCACAGGTAACAGGCACAGAGCATCAAGCCTTCAAAGTTCTCTTTAAAGTTCTTCTCAGGCAAGACGCAGCCAGGAACCCGGAACCAACAAGCTGCCCTGAGCGGTCTGCACCAGTCCACTCCCCGCCCTGCTTCAAAGGCCCCTCTTCAGAGGCTCGCCTGCCCGCAGGCCCGGGCGGCGGCGGTACTCACGTCTCGAAAGCGGTTCCAGTACTTGTCCCGGTCGTACTGGGAGACGGTGCTCAGCCACTGGTCATTGTCTAGGAAATTGCCGTTGTTGGGCTCCGCGGCGCCTGCGAGCGCTTCCAGGTGCCGGCTCTCCACCTGCAGGAAGCACCACGCCGCGGCGGCCGCCGCGAGCACGGCGATCGCTGGCATCTGCGGGGCAGGCAGGGGGTACGCAGGGCGGTGAGCTGGGGGGGACAGTGCGATGGCGAGCCCCTCGCGGAGCAGCGCCGGGTGAGCGCCTCCGCCACCGGCCCCAGCTATAGGGGAGGAGCATCTCATGGTGGGGACCGAGTCCTCCCTCGCACACCTGGGGCTCCTGTCGCCGACCTAGGGACCTAGGGACCCCTCTCACGAATGGGGGATGGGAGTAAGAGGCTCAGTTACAAAGAGGCTGCGTCACAAATTAGGGGCTGCTATCAAACTACAGAGGACCCCTGTCACCTATTCTCCGGACGCCCCAGAGGGCGTTACTCTCGGATGGGCGCTTCAGTACCCCTCCCCAAAAACGGAGAGCCCTGGATCCGCAAGCCGCGCTCCCACACACTGCGCCCGGAGCACCGGGGTAGGAAGCCGGAGCACAGGGCTCCAAGCAGCAGTCCAGACGCGAGCAGAACGGGGCTGAGTGTGGGATACCCGCGGCGGAGGGGGGTCTCGCCTCGCCCACCGTGCCGCCTCCGCAAGAGGGGTGCGCGGAGATAGCCCCAGGCCCGACCCTGTCAGCCCCGCGGTGGTCGCGGGGAGGTCCCAACTACGCCAAGTTGGGGCGCGGGGTTCCGCGGGTACGTACCTTGGGGGCCAGCCCGGATCCCCGCGTCCGAGTTCCTTGAGTTCCTGTGGCGCCGAGAAGGAGAAAGCTGACGTGCCGCTTGCTCCCCTGCGCTCCTGCCACCCGCCGCCGCGCGTCCGGCCGCTTTGTGAGCCCGCAGCGCTCTGGCTCCGCTCTCTCTGGCTAGCTCGGGCGCGGCGTCGGCGGGCGGAGGGGCCCGACAGCACGCACCCGCGCCTCGCGTTTTTTTTTGCACGCTGCTGTGCCGGCCGCCGGACAGCGCCGCAGCCCCTCGTCCAGCACAGCTGGCGACGTAGTTTTCCACATCTTGATGCAGGACTGAAACAAGCCTTCAGGCCCAAGCTGGTGAGAGACAGCTGAGGGGACTCAGGATACGAGGCCAAGAAGCCGACCAACACTGAGGCATTCTCAAAAGGAAGGTCGTCCGGGACACCTAAGTGAGGATCACCTTGGTGGGAGGAGGAGGGGGCTCCTTAAAATGCGGATTCCTGGCTCATTCCCCAGACTTGCCAAATCAGAATTCCTTCACAGGGTCTCCCCAGGGTGAGTGAATTTCTGCACAGCCCATCCCAGGTCGTGAACGCATCCATGTCTCTGCACTCCCATGCTCCATGCCATGCCCTCTGCTCTCAGTCCCTTAAGACAGCCCCTTCGGACCTCCATTTCTATCATCGCTATATCCTTGTGTTCCCACATTGGCCCTATAAGTATACCTTGGTGTTCTCCTGCGCGGAAGCCCTTGTCTGATGAACTGGCCCCGGCATCAGTCTGTTGAGTTTTCCTAGAGGGGAGAGAGGGTAAAGAGGAAAGATAGAGCAGGCTTCAGGGACAGGACACAGAAGCGGCAGGCTGGCCTTACCCTCCATCCCACACTCGCTTTCCAAATCCTCAGCTATGTCTGGTCAAATAGGGCTGGAAAGGAATTAATGCAGTCCCTCTGTCAACACAGAGGTGACTCTTACCTGCTGCCTTTCTCTTGTACCACCGCACCTCATTCTCCAGACACCTGAGTATTCTTTTAGAACAAGTCTGACACACTAAACCTTCTCCCCTCAGCACACACTTAAAACTCTCATGTTGCTTTCCTGATAGAGACCAAACCCCGTGGCAGGAGCCCGCAGGCCTGCACACCTGGCCCCTGCCTGTCTCTGCTGCTGCCTGTCATGCCTCTCCCTCCTCCTTCCCTGACTTCCTGGACAGGCTGGTCTTGGTGTGGACTCCAGTGGAGATGGGCTCCCTCCAGCACTGCACGTTCACTTCTGCTGGGCCACTGTCCACACCCACTCCTAACACAGGCCTCATTAATTCTCCTTTAGTTTATTTATCTGGATCTCTTCAGAGTAACTCTTGTGGAACCTGTGGACCACACCAGGACCCTGATGACACTCTCCTTGAGAACACAATGCTTCCCCAGCTGTAAGCTCACTGCACTTGAAATCACTTACTCCACGTCTGTGCTACCTGGCTGGAGCTCTGTGAGGGCAGAAGCCACATCTGGCCTGTTCTCCACTTATCCCAGTGCCCAGGTCCAAGCTTCTGACACAAAGCAAGTGCTCAGAAAATATCTGATGAATGAATGAATGACTAGCACCCAATCATGGTCTGGAACCACACTTCTCAGCCAACATGTCCCAACATGTGTGATGCAGTTCGTTGTAAGTTGTACTGTACGTAATTTGGTTGTGTGTAGTTTAATGTGTAGAAATTGGATTATGATTTTTCCTAAAAAGTAGCAGATGCTTATCCTGACATTACTCTGACTGATTTACATTCCTGGAAGCATTCTTGAAAGGAAGAGAAAGGAGTGGAGTCACAGCTATATGTTGGGGATTACATGTCATCCATGCATGGTTTATTATCATGGGAATATTTTAAGTATTTCAATGTCATGTCCTGGGTATATTAGAGCAGGAGAGAGGTTTAGAAATAATGGAGAGAACACGTTTTACTTTCATAGAAACCCAAGGAAACAGCTACTTCCCCATTTCCCTGTCCAGTTTGATGGCAAAACTCCAAACAGTTGTCCCCAGATGTCAGTTCAGCCTTCTCAGCTCCAATTCATTCTTCCACGCATTCTAATCTGCCTTTCATCCTCACTGAATAATGAAATGATTTATCACCATCAGCAACATCCTCAAAGTCACCAAACCGAGTGGGCAACCCTCACTTCTCCCCTAGTAAGCCTCTAAGAAGTTACTGTAGGCTCCTGTGGCATCATTCCTCCTGGCTTTCCTGCTCCCCACTGGTCATTCCCACTTACATACCAGAGCTTCTCTGGGCGCAGGCCTAGGCCCTTTGCTCTTTCTGTCTAAACCATTTCCCATGGTGCTCATATCCAGTCCTGTGCTGAGATTCTCTAGTTGAATTTCCAGCTCAAAGTATCTGATGACTGCCAACCACACATCCAACTTCATACCTGACGTCTCCTCCATATGCCCCACGGGTATACCAAATTTTACCAGGTCAAAACAGAAGTCTAGATTTCTCTCCACAAACCTGTGCTCTGAGTCATCCCTATTCCAGTAACTATATCTCCATCCGTGTGGAGATGCTAAAGCCAGAAACCTATGAGTTGCCTTCAATCTCTTGATTTCCTTTGCCCCTCACCTCCGGTCTAAGAGGAAGCCAATCCATTCCATTTCTGAACACCCCTCCAGTCTATCCACTTCACTCCACCTCCACTGGCACCGCCAGTTCCACCTGACTGTCACTTCTTACCTGGAGGACTACAGTGACTTCTTGGTTAGTTTCCTTGATTCTTTCTTTTCACCTCCAACTCATTAACCACTCAGGGGTCAGAGCTATCTTTTTGGAACAGAAATCATTCCTTTGCATAAAACCTTAACCTTTCAATGGCTCACCGTGACACTAAAACAAAATTCCAAATGCCTTCTCATAGCTGGGAGAGCCCTGAATCACCTGGCCCCTCCCCGCTTCATTCTCGGGATTGTCACCACACTCCTTGGCACACACGCCAAGCATGTTCTCACCTCAGTTCCTCTGCGCTGGCTGGGCCCTCTGCCTGGAATGACCCTCTTTCTGCTCTTCACGGCTTTGCTCATATCTCAGCTCCGGTATCACCACTTCGCCGAAGCCTTCCCTGACCACCCCATCTAAAATGGGTCCTCCTACTTCCAGCCACACCTCCACTCTATCCCTACACCCGGTTGTTTCCTTAAGAATATTTTGATCTTTGGTCTCTCTCTTCCCCAATTTGAATATTCATTCCAGAAGGGCAAACATATTGCCTTTTTCACTCCTGTAGCCCCAGGTTTATCTCAGAGCCTAATATTCAATGGACACTCAAAAAATATTTATACAGTGATTGAATGAACGAACGAAGGAAATTCCATAATCTTTAATGCATTCCAAAGTGTGAAAACTCCGTCTGGAGACATTTCCTTTGGTCGCCCTTAAATCCCTTGTTCTGCAGATCCAAGCTTTGCTTTTCTGGCAGGGCCTGTCCCCTTAATCAGAGGGCATCTGCTCTTGGCCAAGCTCCAACCTCACAACTGGAATCTTCCCTGTAGCCACCTACCAAGGTGGAAAGAGCAGCCAGAGCACAATGGGCAGGTGTGGGGGTGCTGGATCTGGCCTGAGCAGAGAAAGAATGTAACCTTGGAACAGGGGCAAGGAGGCTGGAAGCTGGAGACTTGCCATCAGCTCAGCCAGCACTAGAGGGAAGAAATGTCAGATTTATTTGGCTACGGGAAACACCCAGGACCAAAATCAATACTGAGCCTTGGGGCTGTATTTCTGCTTTTCATTGGCTTATGCACAACTATAATAACTCCTTGTTTTAACATAGTTCTTATTTCCAAAGAGCCTCACATGTTTTATCTTTGGTTTAATGGATCCTCAAACATGAAGCATTGGGTAGTCTGAAACAGACATAACTATCACCATTTTATGCTGAGAACAAGGGAGCACAGAAAGGTTAGATGAATTGCTGAAGGTCACAGGAAGAAAGAAAGATGAATTTAGTAGTGGGAAGTTCCAGGTGTAACCCCCCACTTCATGAGGCTGTCCTGGCTAGAATGAGCTTCACCCATGGGGCTCCATCTGATAAAAGAGGTGCTTATAATACTTACCTTGTCATTCTATTTTTAGCTGCAAACTCATATATCTACCCCCTACATGGCATCTCCATTTGGCTGTCTCACTGGCACTTTGAATTCTGTGTGTCCAAAACTGAATACTTGAGCTGCATCCCCCAGCCAAACCTGCTCCCCTTCCCGTGTCCCCACCTCAGGAAGACAACCACCACAACCACCCCAAATGCTAGTGTCATTCTGACCTCCTCTCAGCCCCCACTTTCAATGAATCGCCCATATGTCAAAACTACCTTTGCAATATTTCCAATTCCAATCACTTTTCCCCACTGCTATACCTCTAGAGTCCCTTCCCACCATCTTTCACCTTCACTCTACAAAGGCCCTTACAAGGGTCCCTGGCTCTGGGCTGGCCATTCATTCTCCATACAGGCACCAGAGTGGTCCTCTCTCAGTGTAAGTGTAATCACTCCTCTCTTCTTACTGACCATCCCATGCTCTCAGGATAAAGATCAGATACCTT